GTTTTCGCCATTTATACATTTTATATACTAGTATTTTATTTTATTGAAACAGACAGCAAACAAATGAAGAGACTGTCTGTGCTCAAAGTAGTATGTTGTCAAACTCTACGCTCTACTTATGCTGCCCACAATTGCACTAAATAGACGACACTATTTCTATACTGCTATTTCAAATCTTAACACGCTTTCCTTTAATTCCTGTTATCAAGCCAACGTTCAGCAAACTATGCCATATTTGTTTTAAACTATATTATTGAATTGACACGAGAATGACAAAGTCTTAGATTTGCGAATGGAATTTTAGTGAAAACCGACCAATCACAAAAAAAAGCATTATACCACAGTCTCTCTATAGATCGGATAGAGGGACTGTGATTATACTGTTGAAAAGCAAAATAAGCTCACGTATGGTATCATATACTAGTAACATGACAAAATTAAAGCGCGGTGGTCGTCGCGCAGCGCGTGTTCGAATTTCATGTAAATGTATTTTACACGCGTTGTATACGTCGCTATCGAACAGTCCCATATCGAACAGGACGCGGCACGACGACTGCCGCCCTTTAACGTATTTGTTAGTAGTGTAATTTATTATTTGAATTCATATAAATCATAGTGCAGCGCCACCTTAATTTGAAAAAAAATAACACTAGACTGTCAACAGTCGGTCGTACCTAATATTAATCTATTAGTATGAATACATATTGTGCATCGTGTGAATAAATTGCGAACGCCAAGACAGGAAGTACTAGTATATTGGGACTAATATCAGGGGGTAATTCTCTCTCTCTGGGTTCTCCACACGTGTCAGGGGGGAAACTCGTCTCGTCTCTCTATCTCGTCCCCTTGAGGTACGGGATCGGGAAAGTCACTTATACTTTACAGTCAAATAAGGCACACACAACGAAATACGTTTCAGCTCTCGTCTTAGTCGGTCAATCGAGCACTCTATAAGACACAGCGCCCTGGGGAAAAATCCCCAAGACAATCACAAGGCTGACCCAAGACTCTCTCAGACTGCGTCAACACTCGCCCCAAGGCTCTCCAGGACTGCCCTCGACTGCCTCTATCGTGCTGTGCTCCCCAAGACCAACTCAAACTCTCTTTATTCATTTTCAAAACTCTAACCAATTACAAAGCAGTAAAAAGACTCTAGGGCGTAACCTTCAATCATAAAGCCAA